CTGCCTCCTGGGTTCAGGCAATTCTCCTGCCTCAGCCTCCTGAGTAGCTGGGATTACAGGCACGCGCCACCATGCCCAGCTAATTTTTTGTATTTTTAGTAGAGACAGGGTTTCGCCATGTTGACCAGGATGGTCTCGATCTCTTGACCTCGTGATCCACCTGCCTTAGCCTCCCAAAGTGCTGGGATTACAGGCTTGAGCCACCGCGCCCGGCCTAGAGTCGGGGTTTCAACATGTTGGCCTGGCTGGTCTCCAACTCCTGACCTCAGTTGATTCGCCTGCCTTGGCTTCCCAAAGTGCTGGGATTACAGGCATGAGCCACCTCACACCTGGCATCCAGATGTGCCTTCTTTCATCACTTACCTGTACTGTTGTTCTTTTTCACTTTGAAAACGTAAAGCCTTCTATCAAGTATAGATCGTTACCTTCTCATATCCCTGCATATCTTTCTTACTTTTGAGATTTATAATCAGGCAGTCTTTCTTCCTCTCCAGGCTTTGCCACTTACCTGAGCTCTGATCTACAAGTTACTGCCCCACTCTGAACTTCAGCTTCACATTTGTCTCCATAGCTCAGGGGTTAGAGCACTGGTCTTGTAAATTTCAGCTTCCTCATTCATAAAATAAGGACTAGAATAATTTCTATCTCATAGTATTAGTTTAAGCATTAAATAATATTTAATATCCTTATCTTAATAGCATATTACTAAATAGTAAAATAGTCATTAGCTGGCTGAGGTGGGAGGATGGCTTGTGTCAGGAGTTTAAGGCTGCAATGAGCTATGATTGCACCATCGCACTCCAGCCCGGGTGACAGAGTGAGACTTTGTCTCAAAAAAAACAAGTAAACATTTAATAAACATGAAGTCATATTTTTGTTGATATTCATTAATCCTCATATTATCCCTGGGACCCTGGCTTTCTTTCTATAGATGTCCTTCTTTCCTAAGTCATTGAGAAAACTGAGGCAGTTAATGTGTGATTTTCCTCAAACTTCCCCCTCCCATAAAGTTACCTTGTCCACTGGCCACCCCACCTGCGGAGGTCTGATCTAAACGCTGAGGGTCTCTCTTCTTTTTTTTCTTTTTAGGGCCAGCTACTCACTTTAACCTTTAATTCTTTTCTCTCCTGCCTGATCCAGGAGGAGAGAAAAGAATTTTCTTCCTTGCTTTCTTTTTTATTTTTTATTTTTAATTTTTTTTGGGGGGGGAGGAAGGTTAAAATTCCTCATCTAAACTAGTCATTCAGTATCATGTTGATGACTCCCAAGTTCTTAGTTTTGTTTTGTTTCTTTTGAGACAGAGTCCCATTGTATTGCAGTGATCTCAGCTTACTGCAACCTCCACCTCCCAGATTCCAGTGATTCTCCGGCCTCAGCCTCCCCCATAGCCTGTGCTAGAGACTTGTGCCACTGTGCCTGGCTAGTTGTTATATTTTTGGATAGAGACAGGGTTTCGCCATGTTGGCCACTCTGGTCTCAAACTCCTGGCCTCAAGTGATCTGGCCACCTCAGCCTCCGAAAGTGCTGGGCATGAGCCACCGTGAATGGCAATTGCCAAAGGTTACTGTCTATCTCTAACTGCCAGTAATATATCTGCACCCATATTTGCAAACTCCTAATGTCTGAACCTTACTCACATACCTGTTTCTCCTGCAACATCTGCCTGAGGGATTATTTCTGTTGGTGGAATTACCATGCACCAAGCTAGAAACTAGAGAGTTCCCACCTCCTCTCCTTTCCCTTCCCCACCTGCCCTCTCTCCCTCCTTCCCTCCTGCTCTAAAAAAAGAAAAAAAGAGAGAGAGAAACTAGAGAGTTCCCATCACTAGCCTCACTGAGGCAGGATGACATGCCAAGAATTAATGGTGTGTCCCTTCCCTATGGACCCTGCAGTCCCAATTTGTTTACTTGTACAGAGCCTTACTCCCAGCTCAGGCGTGGCAGTAACAGAGAGTAAAAATGCCTAAATTCTTTCTTTCTAAGTCCACAATGTACAGTATGGTTTAAGATAGAAGATTCCGGCCAGGCATGGTGGCTCTCGCCTATAATCTCAACACTTTGAGAAGCCAACGCTGGCAGAACACTTGAGGCCAGGAGTTGGAGACCAGCTTGGCCAACATGGCAAAATCTTGTCTCTACAAAAAATATTAAAAAAATTTGCTGGGCTTGGTGGTGCACACCTGTGATCCCAGCTACTCAGGAGGCTAAAGCATAAGAATCGTTTTAGCCTGGGAGGTGGAGGTTGCAGTGAGCTGAGATTGCACCACTGCACTCTAACCTGGGTGACAAAGTGAGATCCTGTGTCAAAAAAATTTATTAAAACAAGATTTTAAAGGAGATGGAATTAAGTAAAACAAACTTTCTTTTTAAGCAGAACCAACTTTTTCTGCTATACATACTTCAGATATCCTTGCAGAGATGGACACACACACAAAAATAAATTTTGGCTGGATGCAGTGGCTCATGCCTGTAATCCCAGCACTTTTGGAGGCTGAGGTGGGCAGATCACCTGAGGTCAGGAGTTTCAGATTGGCCTGGCCAACATCATGAAACACCATCTTTACTAAAATACTCTGAACATTAGCTAGGTGTGGTGGCATGTGCCTGTAATCCCAAGAGGCTTGAGTTTAGGCGGTGGAGGGTGCAGTGAGTGGGAGATCAACACCACTGCACTCCAGCCGGTGCAACCGAGCAAGACTCCAACAAAAAAAAAAAGAAAAGAAAAGAGGAGGTGCTTGGGGGCGGGGGCTTATTCCAATAATTCCAGCACTTTGGGAGGCTGAGGTGGGGAGATCACTTGAGGTCAGGAGTTCCAGACCAGCCTGGCCAACATGGTGGAATCCTGTCTTTACTAAAAACACAAAAAGTAGCTGGGCATGGTGGCAACACCAGTAATCCCAGCTACTCAGGAGAATGAGGCAGGAAAATCGCTTGAACCAGGGAGGTGGAGGTTGCAGTTAGCAGAAATCATGCCACTGTACTCCAGCCTGGGGAACAGAATGAGACTCTGTCTTAAAAAAAAAAAAAAATGCCAGGTGAGGTGGCTCACGCCTATAATCCCAGCACTTTGGGAGGCCAAGGCGGGTGGATCATGAGGTCAAGAGATGGAGACCATCCTGGTCAACAAGGTGAATCCCCATCTCTACTAAAAATACAAAAATTAGCTCTGCGTGGTAGTGTGCACCTGTAGTCCCAGCTACTCGGGAGGCAGGAGAATTGCTTGAACCCAGGAGGCAGAGGTTGAGGTGAGCCAGGATCGTGCCATTGCACTCCAGTCTGGGTGACCCCAGCGAAACTCCGTCTCAAAAAAAAAAAAAAAAAAAAAAAAAGGCCGTGGTGGCTCACGCCTGTAATCCAAGCAGTTTGGAGGCCAAGGTGGGTGGATCACCTGAGGTTGGGAGTTCAAGACCAGCCTGACCAACATGGTGAAACCCCATATTTAATTAAAAAAAAAAAAAAACAGAAAAGGAGTTTTGAGTATGAACAAAGGAGGACTTGCATCTTGAGTCCACCTCAGGTGAAGTCCAAGATTTGGGAGTGTAAGAGGATGCCCTATTTTAAGAGATAGGAGAATAGAGACAACTGTGTGCCACACTTTCTTAGTATGTTCTTGAATATGGCAAACTATTAAGTAGATCTGGATCTACCTAGTGCTTGTACATAAGAGGGCTAAGACAGTCCCCACAATTTCCCTGGAAGATCATTATATATATCCATGCCATGCCATGGCATTTCATTCAATGCCATGCCATGTCATTCTATTTCATTCCATTTCATGCCATGACATTCCATTTCATGCCATTCCATGCCATGGCATTCCATGCCACACCATTCCACTCCATGCCACTCCATTCCATTCCATGCCACTCCATTCCATTCCATTCCTACTCTGTCTCCCAGCCTGGAGTGGTTTTGAAATTAAAAAAAAAAAAAAAAAAAAAAGATGGAGTCTTGCTCATCACCAGGCTGGACTGCAGTGGCGCTATCTCGGCTCACTGCAACCTCCACCTCCTGGGTTCAAGTGATTCTTCTGCTCAGCCCCCCTCCAGTAGCTGGGACTACAGGTGGATGCCACTACACCCACCTAATTTTTAGTAGAGACAGGGTTTCACCATATTAGCCAACCTGGCTTTGAACTCCTGACCTCAAGTGATACACCTGTGTTGGCCTCACAAAGTGCCAGGATTACAGGCATGAGCGACTGTGCCCGGCTAAGTTTTCTATTTTTAGTAGAGACAAATTTCACCATGTTGGCCAGGCTGGTCTCAAACTCCTGACTTTACATGTTCCACCTGCCTCAGCCTCCCAAAGTACTGGGCATTACAGGTGTGAGCCACCTCGCCCAGCGGTCTTAAGTATTTATTTAATACAAAATCTTCAGCCTGATTTGAAAATCCTTCAGCTTCTTGCATGGTCTCCAGTTTAGAACACCTTTAGTCAACTCTCCAGTTGAAGGTTTACCTGATCACAACACAGATTAACACAACTCCCTGGTAGCTCCTATTTTACCCTTAAACCCGAATTTAAAAGCTGTAAATGCCTCATTGAATACTGACTCAAGCCTTATTTCTGGCTACTGTTCACATATATACTGAATAACAATATCGAAGTGTAAAATGTAAAAATAATGCTGTCCTGGGCAGCTGCAGTGACTCATGCCTGTAATCCCAGCACTTTGGTAGGCCAAGGCAGGCAGATCACCTGAGGTCAAGAGTTCGAGACCAGCCTGGCTAATATGGTGAAACTGCCCCCACCCCCCACAACCCCTATTTCTACTAAAAATACAGAACATTAGCCAGGCCTGGTGGCACCTGTAATCCCAGCTACTCAGGAGGCTGAGGCAGAGAGAGGAATTGCTTGAACCCAGGAGGCAGAGGTTGCAGTGAGCCGAGATCGGGTCATTGCACTCCAGCTTGGGCAACAAGAGCAGAACTTGGTCTCAAAAAGTAAATAAATAAATAAAATAAGGTGTCCTTTCCTCCTGTTATTTTGCCTTCTCAGAAATAACCGCTATTCTCATCTTGCAATACTCACTCAAGCATTCAACAACTATTGAGCACCTACTATGTGTTCTTACTGGGCGTGGAGAACCAAAGAAAACTAAAAGCTCCGAATTCAGCAAGCTCATCTTTCTAGAGGCAAACAGGAGAAAAAACAAGTAACAGAGGATACGGAAGACGGGGTAAGTAATAAAGAGAAAAGCTAATCAGAGAACGGGAACACGGAGTGTGGGAGAAAGGGGGCTTGCTTTCTGAATACACAGTTCTGGGAAGGCCTTGCTGATGAGTAGCTTTCAAGAGTTACCTGAAGAAGGGAAGGGATAAAGTGATTTTATTTGGAGGAAGAGCTTTTGGCAGAGCAAATAGCAAATGCAAAGGCTTAAGCTGGGACCAGGTTTGGCTGGTTTACTGAAAAGCTGGGGGATCAAGCAAAGTTAAATGAAGGGGCTGTGCGTGGTGGCTCACGCCTGTAAACCCAGCACTTTGGGAGGCTGAGGCGGGTGGATCATGAGGTCAGGAGTTCAAGATCAGCTTGGCCAAGATAGTGAAACCCCATCTCTACTAAAAATACAAAATTTAGCCAGGTGTGGTGGTAAGTGCCTGTAATCCCAGTTACTCAGGAGGCTGAGGCAGAGAATTGCTTGAACCTGGGAGGTGTAGGTTGCAGTGAGCCAAGATTGAGCTACTGCACTCCAGCCTGGGTGACAGAGTGAGACTGTCTCAAAAAAAAGAAAAAAAATTAAAAAATGACAAAAAATAAATAAAATAATCAAAAAAAGAATGAAGGGAGGCCGGGCGCGGTGGCTCAAGCCTGTAATCCCAGCACTTTGGGAGGCCGAGACGGGTGGATCACGAGGTCAAGAGATCGAGACCATCCTGGTCAACATGGTGAAACCCCGTCTCTACTAAAAATACAAAAAATTAGCTGGGCATGGTGGCGTGTGCCTGTAATTCCAGCTACTCAGGAGGCTGAGGCAGGAGAATTGCCTAAACCCAGGAGGCGGAAGTTGCGGTGAGCCGAGATCGCGCCATTGCACTCCAGCCTGGGTAACAAGAGCGAAACTCCATCTCAAAAAAAAAAAAAAAAAAAGAATGAAGGGAAACACTGCTATAAGTCAGAAAGGTGGTAACGGGGCCGGGCACAGTGGCTCATGCCTATAATCCTAGTACTTTGGAAGGCCGAGGCAGGCTGATCACCTGAGGTTGGGAGTTCGAGATCAGCCTGACTAACATGGAGAAGCACTGTCTTTATTACAAATATAAAATTAGCCAGGCATGATGGTGCATTCCTGTAATCCCAGCTACTTGGGAGGCTGAAGTAGGGGAATTGCTGGAACCCAAGAGGTGGAGGGTGTGGTAAGCTGAGATCACGCAATTGCACTCCAACCTGGGCAACAGAGCAAGACTCCGTCTCGGGGAAAAAAAAAAAAATCAAGTAAAAGGTGGCAAGGGACCAAATTCTACAATCCTACATTGTGAGGTCCTCGGCTTTGACCTCTGAGGGAGGAAGCCATTCAAGTTTCCAGGGAATAATATAATCTCTGATTTGCACTTTTTTTTTTTTTTTTTTTTGGAGACAGAGTTTCACTGTCGTCTGATCTGGAGTGCAGTGGCATGATCTCAGCTTACGGCACCCTCCGCCTCCCGAGTTCAAAGGATTCTCTTACCTCAGTCTCCTCAGTAGCTGGAGTTATAGGCATTTGTCACCACGCCAGGCTAATTTTTGTATTTTTAATAAAGAGGAGGCTTCACCATGTTGACCAGGCTAATCTGGAACTTCTGACCTCACGTGATCTGCCCACCTTGGCCTCCCAAAGTGTGGGGATTACAGGTGTCAGCCACCACGTCTTGCCCTCATTTACATTTTTAAAGGGTTACTCTTTCTGCTATGTTGGAAGTAGATTTTAGAATGGGATGGACAAAGGCAGAAGCAGATTGAGTTATGAGATAAACTGTATCTAGTTGAGAGATGATGGTGGTAAGAAGTGGCAGTTGTCTGGAGATACATATATATGTATTTTATAAGATGGAGTTTCACCATATTGGTCAGGCTGGTCTCGAACTCCTGACCTCAGGTGATCTGCCCACCTCAGCCTCCCAAAGTGCTGGGATTACAGGCGTGAGCCACTGTGCCCAGCTATATATATATATATTTTTTGAGACAGAGTTTCGCTCTTGTTGCCCAGGCTGGAGTGCAATGGTATGACCTTGGCTCACTGAAACATCTGCCTTCTGGGTTCAAGCAATTCTCCTGCCTCAGCCTTCTGAGTAGCTGGGACTATAGGTATGTGCCACCATGTCCAGCTATTTTATTTTATTTTTTTCATGTATTTTAGTAGGGACGGGGTTTCTCCATGTTAAGTCAGGCTGGTCTCGAATTCCCAACCTCAAGTGATCTGCCCGCCTTCAGCCTCCCAAAGTGGTGGGTTTACAGGCATGAGCCACTTCGCTCGGGTATTTTAAAGAAAAAAAGCAAGATTTTCTGACAGACCGAGTTGAGCTAGGAGAAAGGGAAGAAGTCAAAGACAGTACTATGGTTTTTGATTCAATCCACTGGGCAGATGGAGTTGGAGTTGGCTTTACTAAGATAGAGAGGCCTGAAAATAGGTCAGCATTCACTGAAGAGAGTCATAAACTGAGTTTGGGAATTTTAAGTTCAATTCACGTAACATATTAGACATCCAAGCAGAGATATTGAATTGGGAGTTTGACATACAAGCCTGGAAATAAAAATCTGAAAATAGGCTGGACGCAGTGGCTCACGCCTGTAATCCCAGCACTTTGGGAGCCTGAGGTGGGTGGATCACGAGGTCAAGAGATGGAGACCATCCTGGTCAACATGGTGAAACCCTGTCTCTACTAAAAATACAAAAATTAGCTGGGCATGGTGGTACGCAACTGTAGTCCCAAGCTACTCGGGAGGCTGAGGCAGGAGAATTGCTTGAACCCAGGAGGCGGAGGTTGCGGTGAGCCGAGATGCGCCATTGCACTCCAGCCTGGGTAACAAGAGCAAAACTCCGTCTCAAAAAAAACAAAAACAAAACAAACAACAAAAAAAAAAAACCAGATATACAACCACATGTAAAGCAAAAAAAAAAAAAAAAATTATATTCACCTTAACTCCCTTAAGCCCAGGGTTCATTAGTGTTCTTTCAGGCTGCTTTGGAAAGAAAAAAATATGTTTATTGAAAACTTTTTTTTTTTTTGAGATGGAGTTTCGCTGTCTTATCCAGGCTGGAATGCAATGGCGCAATCTAGGCTCACCGCAACCTCTGCCTCCTGGGTTCAGGCAATTCTCCTGCCTCAGCCTCCCGAGTAGCTGGGACTACTGGCGCGCACCACCATGCCCAGCTAATTTTTGTATTTTTAGTAGAGACGGGGTTTCACCATGTTGACCAGGATGGTCTCGGTCTCTTGACCTCGTGATCCACCCTCCTCGGCCTCCCAAAGTGCTGGGATTATAGGCGTGAGCCACCGCGCCCGGCAGAGGTGAAGGGATTTAACCTTGAATGTGATTCAAAGAGCACAGAGTCAGAAAGAAAGCAGTAGGGGAAAGAGGAACAAGAAAGAAAGCTTTCAAAGAGCAGCCATTGACTCAAGCCCAGGAAGGGATAGTGTCCAGAGAGTGGGAGAATACACTTTAACATGGAGAGAGATCCTGATACTTCAGAAGCCCCTGATGATTCAAGTAAGTAGACGGGGAAAAGCCGGGCACAGTGGCTCACACCTGAAATCTCAGCACTTTGGGAGGCCGAGGGGAGCAAATTGCTTCAGCTCAGGAGTTGAAGACCATCCTAGCCAAGATGATAAAACCCCGTCTCCACCAAAAATACAAAAATTAGCCAGGCTTGATGATGGACAGCTGTAGTCCCAGCTACTCAGGAGGCTGAGGCAAGAGAATCCTTTGAGCCTAGGAGGCAGAGGTTGCAGTGAGTCGAGATGGAGCCACTACACTCCAGTCTGGGCTTCAGAGCGCACCTCTATTTCAACGAAAGAAAACAAACAAAAAGAAACCACCCACGGTCCCATCACCACGATACCCTTAAAAAAAAAATGGGGATTGGGAATTGGCCATTTGATTTATTTTCTTTACTTTTTTTTTTCTTGTTTCTTGAGTCACAGTTTTCTTTCTTTCTTTTCTTTTCTTTTTTTGAGACAGTTTCGCTCTTGTTACCCAGGCTGGAGTGCAATGGCGCGATCTCGGCTCACCGCAACCTCCGCCTCCTGGGTTCAGGCAATTCTCCTGCCTCAGCCTCCTGAGTAGCTGGGATTACACCATGCCCATCTAATTTTTTGTATTTTTAGTAGAGACGGGGTTTCACCATGTTGACCAGGATGGTCTCGATTTCTTGACCTCGTGATCCACCCGCCTCAGCCTCCCAAAGAAAGTGCTGGGATTACAGGCTTGAGCCACCGCGCCCGGCTTGAGTCACAGTTTTGTTCTGTCACCCAGGCTGGAGTGCAGTGGCACGATCTGGGTTCACTGCGACCTCCCCATCCTGGGGTTCAAGAGCACATCCGACTAATTTTTTTTTTTTTTTTGAGCCGGAGTTTCACTCGTTACCCAGGCTGGAGTGCAATGGCGTGATCTCGGCTCACCACAACCTCCGCCTCCTGGGTTCAGGCAATTCTCCTGCCTCAGCCTCCTGAGTAGCTGGGATTACAGGCACGCGCCACCATGCCCAGCTAATATTTGTATTTTTAGTAGAGATGGGGTTTTACCTTGTTGACCAGGATGGTCTCGATCTCTTGACCTCGTGATCCACCCGCCTTGGCCTCCCAAAGTACTGGGATTATAGGCTTGAGCCACCACGCCCGGCCAATTTTTTGTATTTTTAGTAGACACGGGTTTTCACCATGTTGACCAGGCTGGTCCTGGACTCCCGACCTTAAATGATCCACCCACCTCTACCTCCCAAAGTGCTGCAATTACAAATGTGACCCTCTATGCCTGCACTTTGTTTTTTTTGTTGGTGGTGGTGGTGGTGGTATTTGTTGGTTTGTTTTGAGACTGAGTCTTGCTTTGTCACCCAGGCTGGAGTGCAGTGGGCAATCTCGGCTCACTGCAAAATTTGCCTCCAGGGCTCAAGTGAATCTCCTGCCTCAGCCTCCTGAGTAGCTAGGATTACAAGTGTGGACCACCAGGTGTGGCTAATTTTTGTATTTTTTTTGTAGAGAAGGGGTTTGGCCATGTTGGTCAAGCGGGTTTCAAACTCCTGGCCTCAGGTGATCCACCCGCCTTGGCCTTCTGAAATGCTGGGGTTACAGGTGAAATCCACAGTGCCCTGTGGTCATTTTATTTTTTGCAACGTCAAGGTCATTCATGTCTGACTCTGAAGAGGAGTGTGTGGAAGTTGGATGTAAAAGCCTGATTGGAGAATATTCAAGAGAGAATGAGGGGAGAAAAATCACCAACAGGCAAGCAACAAATACAGATAACTCTTTAGAGGAATGTAAGAAATTTTCTTATACTTCATCACATTCTGTAAGAGAAATTGAGAAGACAAGTGGTAGCAATAGAGGGATGTGGGTTACAAGAGTTTGTTTTTTTCTAACAAAAGGAAACTTGTGGCTGCAGTGGCTCACACCTGTAATCCCAGCACTTTGGAATGCCAATGTGGACAGATCACTCGAGCTGAGGGTTTCAAGACCAACAACAGCATAGTGAACTGCCAAGCCACCATCTCTTAAAAATAATTTTTTTAAATTTTTTACTTATTTATTTTATTTATTTTTTTTTGAGACAGAGTCTCACTCCATCGCCAGGCGCCATGCTGGAGTGCAGTGGCACAATCTCGGCTCACTGCAACTTCCACCTCTTGGGTCCAAGCAATTCTGCCTCAGCCTCCCGAGTAGCTGGGACTACAGGTGCAAGCCACCCAGCCCAGCTAATTTTTGTATTTTTAGTATAGATGGGATTTCACCATGTTGGCCAGGATGGTCTCGATCTCTTGACCTCATGATCCGCCTACCTCAGCCTCCCAAAGTGCTGGGATTACAGGTGTGAGCCACCGCGCCTGGCCTAAATTTTTTTTAAAAAACGAAAATGTTCACCAATTAGCAGACACTCTGAATTTTATCCCACCCTAATCTCTGATAATCACTAATTTACTTTCAGTCTCTATAGATTTGCCTATACACGGGACATTGTATATAAACAGAATCATATAATGTCTGACTTTTACATCTGACTTCTTTCACTTGTTCTTTTGTTTTTTCTTCTTCCTGTTGCTGCAGGGTCTCCTCACTCTGTCACCCAGGCGGAAATATAGTGTTGCCATCAGGACTCACTGCAGCCTCAACTTCTTGGGCTCAAGTGATCCTCTCACCTCATTTAAAAATTTTTTATTTTATTATTATTATTTATTTTTTTATTTTTTTGAGACGGAGTTTCCCTCTTATTACCCAGGCTGGAGTGCAATGGCGCAATCTCAACTCACCGCAACCTCCGCCTCCTGGGTTCAAGCAATTCTTTTGCCTCAGCCTCCTGAGTAGCTGGGATTACAGGTATGTGCCACCATGCCCCGCTAAGTTTTTGTATTTTTAGTAGAGACGAGGTTTCACCATGTTGACCAGGATGGTCTCGATCTCTTGACCTCGTGATCCACCCACCTCGGCCTCCCAAAGTGCTGGGATTACAGGCTTGAGACACTGCGCCCGGCCTATTATTATTTTTTGAGAGGAGTTTTGCTCTTGTTGCCTAGGCCTGGAGTGCTGTAGCACCATCTTGGCTCACTGCAACCTCTGCCTCAGAGATTCAAGAGATTCTCCTGCCTCAGCCTCCCTAGTAGCTGGGATTACAGGCATGAGCCACCATGCCCAGCTAATTTTTGTATTTTTAGTAGAGACAGGGTTTCACCATATTGGCCAGGCTGGTCTCAAACTCCTAACCTTGTGATCTGCCCACCTCAGGCTCTCAAAGTGCTGGGATTACAGGCATGAGCCACCATGCCCGGCCTCATTTTTTTTATTTTTAAGAGGAGGAGATCTCACTGTGTTGCCCAAGCTGGTTTCCAACTGCTGGACCCAAGCAGTCCTCTCACCTTGGCCTCCCCAAGTGCTGGGATTACAGGCGTGAGTCTCCACACCTGGCCCCCCAATTTAGCTTGTGTTCAATATTCACCCATGTTGAGCATTAATCAGGATTTTACTTCTTTTTGTGGCTAAATAATAGTCTATTATATAGATACAATGTATTTTGTTTAAAGGGGGCAATTGCTAGGTCATATGGTCACTGTTTACATTTTAGAGAAACAGCCTTGCCTGCCTCTATCGAGATGATCCCATAGTTTTTCTGCTTTATTCTATTCCTTTGATATATTACATTGCTTTTCCTATATTGAACTGGTCACACATTTCTAGGATAAATCCCACTTGGTTACAGTGTATAATCCTTTTACTATGTTGCTAGATTTTGAATTGTTAGCATTTTGTTGACGTTTTTGCCTCCATTTTCATAAAGGGACATTAATCTATACTTTTTTGGAGGAGGTATCTGTCTGGTTTGAGTATCAGTGTGATGATGGCCTTTAATGTGGTGACTTGGGTAGGCTATAGACCCCAATAATTCAATCAAACACTAGGTGGTACTGGCATATTTATTTTATTTTGAGATGGAGTCTTGCTCTGTTGCCCAGGCTGGAGTGCAGTGGCTGGGATTACAGGTGTGAGCCACCACACTGGGCCTTGCTACTGGCTTTTTAGATATAATTAAAATCTATCTTAATTGTCTTTAAGTAAAAGGGATTATAATCTAATTCAATCCAATGAGGCTTTAAGAGGAAATTCTGCCTAGGGAGAGCAGCTTCGTCTCACAATGAAGGGTTCCTAGACATCCTTTCGACTTGCCAAGACATTTCCAAAATTGTGTAAGCCAATTCCCTGCAATGAATTTCTTAATGTATATTCGCTACTGATGTCTTATCTTTCTCCAGTTGAACTGTGACTGATAAGCAGGGTAAAAATACTGATCTCATAGAATAAGTTGGGAAATGTTCTTTCCTATTTTTTGGAAGACTTTGTGAAAGGTTTAATCCTTGCAAACACCATTCGTAGAATTCACTAGTGAAGCCATCTGGTTATGTGAACATAGTTAAGATTTTTCAATTGAAGAAATTTACTCCTCTGTATGTGAATGTAAAATTGCTCTTTTATGTAAAATATGCCTGGGGCATTGTTCCACGTTAATATTTATTGATCTACTTCATACTTGTTTTAAAAATTGCTACATTATATTCTTTTTTGAGGCAGAGTTTCACTCTTGTTGCCCAGGCTGGAGTGCAATGACGCCATTTCAACTCACTGCAACCTCTGCCTCCTGCGTACAAGAGATTCTCCTGCCTCAGCCTGCTGAGTAGCTGGGATTACAGGCATGCACCACCAGGCCCGGATAATTTTGTATTTTTAGTAGAGGCAGAGTTTCTCCATGTTGGTCATGCTGGTCGAACTCCTGACCTCAGGTGAGCCACCTGCCTCAGCCTCCCAAAATGTTGGGATTACAGGTGTAAACCACCGTGCCCAGCCTGCATTATATTCTGTAGGCTAATACATGAATTTTAACTTGGCAGATTTGACGCTTAGATTTCAAATAAGTTTTTTTTTTTTGAGACAGAGTCTCATGCTGTCGCCCACACTGGAGTGCGGTGGCGTGATCTCGGCTCACTGCAGCGTCCTCCTCCCGGGTTCAAGCAATTCTCCAGCCTCAGCTTCCTGAGTAGTTGGGATTACAGGTGCCCACCACCATGCCTAGCTAATTTTTATATTTTTAGTAGAGACGAGGTTTTACCATATTGGTCAGGTTGGTCTCGAAGTCCTGACCTCATGATCCACCCACCTCTGCCTCACAAAGTGCTGGGATCAGAGGCTTGAGCCATGCTCCCAGCCTTTTTTTTTCTAAGGTGGAGTCTCACCCTGTTGTCAGGCTGGAGTGCAGTGGTATGGTCTTGGCTCACTGCAAACTCAGCCTCCTGGGTTCAAGCAATTCTCCTGCCTCAGCCTCCCAAGTAGCTGGGACTACAGGTGTGTGCTACCATGCCCAGCTAATTTTTGTATTTTTGGAGGGATGGGGTTTCACCATGTTAGCCAAGATGGTCTCCGTCTCCTGACCTCGTGATCCACCCACCTTGGCCTCCCAAAGTGCTGGGATTACAGGCGTGAGCCACCAGGCAGGTATCAAGTTCACTTTTTCTTTGCTCTGTATTTTTCACCAATGTACAGCATTGCTAACTTAGGAAAATCAAATATATTCTCACATAGGAGATTGTTGACTATGAACTGAAATCCAAATTTAGCTGCAGCTTGATTTTATTCCACAGATCTTTTTATACAGAAACAACCAGCTATGCCTTGGGATCAAAATCCTGAACAATCGAATGGAAAATATAGTGAAGATGAACAAAAGGGAAAGCAGAAGTCAACAGAAGGAGGGGGAGAAGCTGGCGGAAAGAGAGAGCAACAAAAAGAAGAGGAAACTGAAAAGGACCTGGACAATGAACAGGAAGTAAAAAGGAAAGTGGAAAATGAGAAACAGAAACAGTATTCCAAGACAAGATTAGTCAGCAAATCCCTCATGGACACTCTCTGGGCAAAGTTTAAGTTAAACAGGTGCCCCACAATACAAGAGAGTCTGTCACTCTCATTTGAATTTGGCATGACACATAAGCAGGTATGACAGCATTAACAGACATTTCTTCACTGACAGACAAAGTCACTTGTGTAGTACTGTTACCCATATTCCTTATTCCTTATCCAATACCCTTATTCCTGTGCTAATCACCTCCCACGCCTCATTTTTTGCAGATAAGTCAATGGTTCTATAAAAAGAGGAAGAAATATAATAAAGAAATGTCCAAGAGAAAGCATAAGAAAAAACATATGAGGTAAGAAAGTGTTTCTTGTAAAATATAAGGAAGTAGAAGGAATATATTGACTTCCGGAGATGGCCCGTTTCCAGTGTTATTGGGTATGCCTCTAAACTTTTTCACATTCCAGCCAGTGACAGAAAAACCACTTACTGCCTTATTTTTTACTGTACTCAAAACACACACAGGCACACACTCACATACACATGCCACCATTTAACAGGTAGTCACATTACCAAATGAGCAAATATAGACATTAGCTTTTTATTGATTGTGGTACAGAATTGATAATTTTGTCCTATTTGTTCCTTTGATGATAAATATGTCTGATGATTGTCTTTCCTCTCCAGTTGTTGGCAGAAGCTCATGTGATTTTTGGAAGGAAATAAGGACAATATTAACATATTTAGCAGCACTAGACTATATACAGAATTTTAATATATCATTTATGTATACCTATGTAGAAATGTTTAAATGTTATCCACTTGATTATTGTTAAGCAATATATGGGGCACCCGATTATCAATCCCAGGGGAGCAGAACACTAAACACTGGTTCCCATCACCCAGGGGATGCCTTCCACCACATGCAGGACTTCAAAGATCATCACTGTGCCAACCGACAGGAATAGAAGTCCAAATGCTTTCACCCCATGTACCTTGGTATCAGAGTTGTACAAAACAATGCCATGAAGCTGTGGGTGCAGCAATGCTTTACTCACAGAGCAAGATCAGCTTCCTGGCAGCCAGTGCAGGCAAATTGGCTCCTCTGGTGCACTGAGCTTGCCACAGGGAAAGGTAGCCGCACAGCAGCAAGAAGCCACCACAGGTCACATGGGCTCTTTTTCCTTGTTTAAATTTGAGACAGAGTCTGTCCGTCACCCAGGCTGGAGTACAGTGGGGCAATCTTGGCTCACCGCAACCTCCACCTCCCAGGTTCAAGTAATTCTCATGCCTTGGCCTCTCTAGTAGCTGGGACTACAGATGTAGTCTAATTTTTGTATTGATAAATATGTCTGATGATGATAAATCATCAGATTTATCAGACATATTGATAAATATGTCCCAGCTAATTTTTGTATTTTTAGTATATATGAAGTTTCACTGTTTTGGTCAGGCTGGCCTCGAACTTCTGGCTTCAAGTGATCTGCCTGCCTCCCAAAGTGCTCGGATTACAGGAGTGGGCCACTGCACCTGTCTGGGCTCTTTGATCTCTTGGTAAGAAAGTATTCCAGGTCTACAGTCTATTCTTAATGCAGCCAAGTGGGGATTAAAAGACTGCATGAATGAGACTGCATTTCCCAGCAATCATTACAATCTAAATTATAAATGAGGAAACTGAATTGCTGGGAAATAACATGATTTCATCAATAAACAACAGTTCCTGACTATAAGAGCCTGAATTTGTACTCTTATGTGTTAGTTTCATAAGCTGTGTATTTTCAGTTATAACTTGAGACATAGTCAAGGCTCTATCAATTTGTTTCATATTTAGTGTTTGTATACTCTTTGTGTCCTCTATTGAAATCCTGCTGTGATAGTTTTTTTATTTTTATTATTTTTTATAGAGATGGGGTGTCACCATGTTGGCCAGGCTGGTCTCGAACTCCTGACCTCAGGTGATCCACCCATCATGGCCTCCCAAAGTGCTGGGATTACAGGCATGAGCCACCGCACCTGGCCTTTTTTTTAAGAAGGGGATCTCAAACTCCTGGATTACAGCGATCCTCCTACCTCGGCCTCCTGAGTAGCTGGGATTACAAGAGCACATTACCTGTTGCTGGGCAAAGTGGCTCATGCCTGTAATCCCAGCACTTTGGGAGGCTGAGGTGGGCAGATCACAAGGTCAGGAGATCAAGACCATCCTGGCTAACACGGTGAAACCCTGTCTCTAATAAAAATACAAAAAAAATAGCTGGGCGTAGCTGGGCATGGTAGCACACGCATGTAGTCCCAGCTACTTGAGACCAAGGCAGGACAATCGCTTGAACCCAGAGGCAGGGGTTGCAGTGAGCTGAGATTGCACCACTGCACCCCAGCCTGGGGGACAGAGGGACACTCCATCTCAAAAACAAAAGAACAAGTGCACATTACCATGCCCAGCCCAGCATGATGGTGTTTCTAATGTTCTTGCACCATTTCTGCCTCCATAACTCTTACCCCTTTGAAATTTTAAAATGTATTTTAGAAAGATTACTTTGTCCTTCAGTGAAAATTGTTTTCTAGATTTAACATATTTTGATGTATATATTAAATATACAGACTGTGACCGAGTGAAGTGGCTCCTGACCTCAGGCAGGCAGATCACCTGAGGTCAGGAGTTTAATGCCAGCCTGGCTGACATGGCGAAACCCCATCTCTGCTAAAAATACCCAAAAAAATAAAATTATCTGGGTGTGGTGGTGACTGCCTGTAATCCTAGCTTCTTGGGAGGCTGAGGCAGGAAAATTGCTTAAACCCGGGAGGTAGAGGTTACAGTGAGCTGAGATCATGCCATTGCACTCCAGCCCAGGCAACAAGAGCAAAAATCCATCTGAAAAAAAAAAAATATATATATATATATATATATATGTATAGATAGATAGAGAGAGAGAGACAGACAGAGAGAGAGAGAGACTGTGTTGTGAAACTTTTTGTTTTAATTTTTTTACAGATGGGGTCTCTGTGTTGCCGAGGCTGGTTTTGAACTCCTGCCCTCAAGCAGTCTTCCCACCTTGGCCTCCAGAAATGCTGTGATTACAAGCAGGAGCCGTTGCCCCTGGCTAAGGAGTTTTATATGACACCATTCTTACCAATGAATGGAATTCTGTAAGGATAAACAAGAAAATATTAAAAATTGTTAATTCTGTGGAGTAGAACTAAATGAGGGGAGTACAAAGGAGTTTTTATACATTTTATTTTTACTCTACTGTACGTAGGGTAAAATGGATGTTAACTGATGTTATTTAAGAAAAAAAAAAATCAATAAAGAAATTACCAACCTCTGGAAATGTTTTGAGACTGAATGGGAAATCCATTTTAGTAGCTAATGGGTTCAGTGCATTCTGCAACTTGTCAATTTATCTCTAAACAGCCCCTCCAAACATGACTTTTTTTTTTTTTTGAGACAGAGTTTCACTGTTGTTACCCAGGCTGGAGTGCAATGGCACAATCTCGGCTCACTGCAACCTCCGCCTCCTGGGTTCAAGCAATTCTCCTACCTCAGCCTCCCGAGTAGCTGGGACTACAGGCATGCACCACCATGCCCAGCTAATTTTTATATTTTTAGTAGAGACGGGGTTTCACCTTGTTGACCAGGATGGTCTCGATCTCTTGACCTCATGATCCACCCGTCTCGGCCTCCCGAAGTGCTGGGATTACAGGCGTGAGCCACCGCGCCCGGCCTGAACATGACTTTTCTCTACAAATGTGACTATGCTTCTGGAAGGGTGATTTGTTGTTGTTGTTGTTGTTATAGGGTCTTGCTCTGTTGCTCAGGCTGAAGTGCAGTGGCACGATCTTGGCTCACGCAACCTCCACCTGGGTTAAAGCAATTCTCCTGCCTCAGCTTCCCAGGTAGCTGAGATTACAGGTGTGAGCTACAGTGCCTGGCCAAGGGTGACTGTTTTCTGGTATGTGACTTGAGTCAGAGGACTAAGGTCATTTAGGTTTTTCTTTTTGAGAGCAATTTGATTGAATTGCACAAAAAAGGAAGTGAAGACAAGAAGATAACACTAGTGGACATGAGAATGACAGTTAATAAGTTAGAGGTCAAATAAGAGTATGGATGATGATTGATAAAGGAAATTCAGATCATAGTTATCTGCCACTACCCTGGTCACTCCCCAGATTTCATCAAAGATTTTGATATTGAAATGGCTTTTATAATTCATGAGTAAACCATCTGACATCCACCCAAGTCTTAGAGTTCTTGAACTTTGTGAAACTCACCTTCACCCCTTTACAGCCAACGTATAGACCTTTCTTGTTACCCAGGCTGGAGTGCAATGGCGTGATCTTGTCTCACTGCAACCTCCGCCTCCTGGGTCCCAGTTCAAACCATTCTCCTGCCTCAGCCTCCCAAGTAGCTGGGATTACAGGCACACACCACCATGCCTAGCTAATTTTTGTATTATAGTAGAGATGGGGTTTCACCATGTTGGCAAGGCTGATCTTGAGCTCCTGACCTTGTGATCTGCCTACCTCAGCCTCCCAAAGTGCTAGAATTACAGGTGTGAGCCACTTCACCAGGCTTTTAGACCCCATTATCTAGTACATTTCATACCAGAAATCTCAAACTCCAAAATTCCCGTACCTAACTTTTCTCTGTTCTTTTAGCTATTTCATACTTCGTGCCACCTCATAGAGAGTTTAGGCTTTGATGCCCCTGTTTGTTCTGATCCAATAGCACCCTTCTGACCTCATTCAGTTCTAAAGTCTGGACTAGGTAGTTAATACGCTGAATCACTATCCCACCAACATCCTCAATTCCCTTTGTTCTCTTGCCCATTTGTCCTTTTGCACACTTGGCAAAAAAATGTTAGCCTTTTGTGAGTATCCAAATGCTCCTATACTAGTGTGGTTGGTAAACTTCAGTTTTTTAAAAATCAGAGGCCAGGCACGGCAGCTCCCACCTGTAATCCCAGTACTTTGGGAGGCCAAAGCATGAAGATCACATGAGGTAAGGATTTCAAGACCAGCCTGGCAAAACCCCATCTACTAAAAATTAGCCAGGCATGGTGGCTCACGCCTGTAGTCCCAGCTACTCAGGAGGCTGGACATAGGGGCAAACACCTGTAATCCCAGTTACTTGGGAGGCTGGAGCAGGAGAATCACTTGAACCCAGGAGGCGGAGGTTGTAGCGAGACGAGATCACGCCACTGCACTCTAGCCCTGGCAACAGAGTGAGACTCCATCTCAAAAAAAATATATAGAGGCCGGGCGCGGTGGCTCAAGCCTGTAATCCCAGCACTTTGGGAGGCCGAGGCGGGTGGGTCATGAGGTCAAGAGATCGAGACCATCCTGGTCAGCATGGTGAAACCCCGTCTCTACTAAAAATACAAAAAATTAGCTGGGCATGGTGGCGTGTGCCTGTAATCCCAGCTACTCAGGAGGCTGAGGCGAGAGAATTGCCTGAACCCAGGAGGCGGAGGTTGCGGTGAGCCGAGATTGTGCCATTGCACTCCAGCCTGGGTAACAAGAGAGAAACTTCGTCTCAAAAAGAAAAAAAAAAAAATATATATATATATATATATATATATATATATATATATATATATAAATTCCATGTTGCTCTATAAAATGGATTTCACAACTTATTCTTTCACTAGTATTATGTGAAATTGTTTTGTTTTTGTTTTTTAATACAGAGTTTTGCTCTTGTTGCCCAGGCTGGAGGGCAATGGCAGGATCTCTGCTTATAAGCTCCGCCTCCTGCCTTCAAGCAGTTCTCCTTCCTCAGCCTCCTGGGTAGCTGGGATTCTAAGCCACCACACCCAGCTAATTTTGTGTTTTTAGAAGAGACAGGGTTTCTCCATGTTGGTCAGGCTGGTCTCAAACTCCTGACCTCAGGTGATCCATCTGCCTTGGCCTTCCAAAGTGCTGGGATTACAGGTATGAGCCACCTCTCCTGGTCTGTTTCTTCAAATTCACCTTGCAAAGCCACAGCCCTTTTTAAACTCTCCACTCATTTCACATTTTACCTGCAGTTAAACATAAAACACCACACAACTGGCTGATTTCATTTTAAATGTATGATCACAACCCTCACTATTGCCTCCCAAACCTACCTACTATATTTCCTCAAGCCATTCATTCTCCACTTTTACCCTTTTTCTCTCTTCCAACATTCAACATCTCTTCTATCTTCTCACTCTTCGCTGATGACCTTTTTTTTTTTGAGATGGAGTTTCGCTCTTGTTACCCAGGCTGGAGTGCAATGGCGCGATCTCGGCTCACCACAACCTCCGCCTCCTGGGGTCAGGCAATTCTCCTGCCTCAGCCTCCTGAGTAGCTGGGATTACAGGCACACACCACCAGGCCCAGCTAATTTTTTGTATTTTTAGTAGAGACGGGGTTTCACCATGCTGACCAGGATGGTCTCGATCTCTTGACCTTGTAATCCACCCGCCTCAGCCTCCCAAAGTGCTGGGGTTACAGGCTTGAGCCACCGCGCCCGGCCGACCTCTTTTATATCTTAGAGAACAGAAGCAAAGCAAAGCAAAACTCTTCATCCTCCAAGTACCAATTAATACCAACTGGCTCATCTGTACCTGTATATATTATATTTCCCTTATTTATTTAATTTATTTTTTGAGACAGAGTTTCACTCTTGTTGCCCAGGCTGGAGTGCAATGGCACGACTGGCTGGCGCGCTCGGGAGGAGCAGCCACCGTTGGTGGCCGAGGGCTATGCCTTGCAGGACGTGTTCAGCACCACTGAGACCAATCTGTGGTATGACTTCCTGCCTGACCAGGCCTCGGGGCTGTTCGGAGCCACCCAGCGCCTGAGCGTGCTGCTGTGCGCCAACGCCGACTGCAACAAAAAGCTGCCCCCGCTGGTGGTGGGCAAGTCAGCCAAGCCCCGCGCAGGCCAAGCCGGCTTGCCCTGTGACTACACCACCAACTCCAAGGGTGGTGTCACCACCCGGGCCCTGGCCAAGTACTTGAAGGCCCTGGACCCCCGAATGGCTGCAGAGTCTCACCGGGTCCTACTGCTGGATGGCCACTTGGCTGCCCAGTCCTTGGACACCTCGGACATGTGCAGCTGGCCTTTCCTCCCGGCACCGTGCATCAGCTGTAGAGGGGAGTGGTCCAGCTGGTGAAGGGCCACTACCACCAGGCCATGATGCTCAAGGCCATGGCCGTGCTAGAGGGCCAGGATCGCTCAGACCTGCAGCTGGTTTCACGGAGGCCTTGCACTTTGTAGCTGCCAGGCAGTGGAGCCTTCGGACATAGCTGCCTGCTTTCTCGAGGCTGGCTTTGGGGGTGGCCCTAATGCCACCATCACCACTTCCCTCAAGAGTGAGGGGGAGGAAGAGAAAGAGGAGGAACAAGAGGAAGAGGAGGGTGGAGAGGAAGAGGAAGAAGGAAAGGAGGAGGAGGAAGGGGGAAGGAGAAGAATTGGGTGAGGAAGAGGAGGTGGAGGAGGAGGGTGATGTTGAGGACAGTGATGAAGAGGAGGAGGAAGAGGAAGAGAGCTCCTCCCAGGGCTTGGAAGCTGAGGACTGGGCCCAGGGAGTAGTGGAGGCCAGTGGCAGCTTCAGGGGTTATGGTGCCCAAGAGGAGGCCCATTGCCCTACTCTGCATTTCCTGGAAGGTGGGGAAAACTCTTGAGTCAAACAGTGAGGAATAAAAGGACGATGAGGAAGAGGATGATGAAGATGAAGACGATGATGATGAGGAGGAGGATGGTGATGAGGTGCCTGTACCCAGTTTTGGGGAGGCCATGGCTTACTTCGCCATGGTCAAGAGGTACCTGACCTCCTTCCCCATTGATGACCACGTGCAGAGCCACATCCTCCACTTGGAACATGATCTGGTCCATGTGACCAGGAAGAACCATGCCAGGCAGGCAGGAGTTCGGGTCTTGGACATCAAAGCTGAGTCACTGGACCTAGCCGTGCCCCCAACCTAGATTGGTAGCAGCACCCCAGGGCAGAGGACTCTCTGGGCACCCACTATGTATGGAGCCAGAGTGCGGAGCCCCAGATTCTTTAGTAATGCTTCCCCTGGCCCTGCGACAGGCCCGGTCTTGGCCAGTCCTGGGGCTGAGGTCAGCCTCACTGCCTGCTTATTTCTTCTTTCTCAGAATCCTCTTTCCTCTCCATTTGGCCCTGGGCTCGGGACCAGGTGGAGTGGGTGGGGAGCTGTCAGGTGCTACCACACCGTGCCCTCAGTGGACTAACTACAGCAGCAGCCAGGGATGGGCCCTGAGGTTCCCTGCCGGAGAGTGCCACTCCCCTCTGCCATCCACGACAGATCTTAGATGGGGAGGGACCCCAAAGCCATTCTGGGAAGGGCTCCAGAGGAAGGTCCAGCCTAGGACCCCTGCAAGGCTGGCAGCCCCCACCTCCATCCACCCCTGGGCTGCCTCGAGAAACACAGTTTAACTCACTGCAGGCCCCTAAGCCTGCCTCTGCCTGCTTTCCACCTCCCCACCCCTTCTCTGGCCCTGTCCATGTGACTTTTGGCCCTTGGTTTTCTTTCCATATTGGATGTTTCCAAGAGCAGCCCCCGCTCTTGGGAGTGACAATGGGCGCTTCCCTCGTGGACAGCTGCAGGCTCCATTCCTCTCCTCCCTCTCTGGCAAGGCCCCATCCTGGGCAGAGGGGCCTGGGGCTGGGCCCAGAGACCAGCCATCCAGCTGCTCCTTTCTCGGTTTGATTTCAATAAATCTGTCCACTCTCCTTTTGTGGGGGTGAACATTTTAACAGCCAAAAAAAAAAAAAAGTGAAATTCTGTCTCAAGAAAAAAAAGTAAAAGATAGAAGTAGGCTTGGCAAGGTGGCTCACTTCTGTAACCTTAGCACTTTGAGAGGCAGAGGCAGGGGAATCACTTGAGGCCAGGGGTTTGAGACCAGCCTGGGCAGCATAGTGAGATGGTCTCTAGAAATTTTTTCTTTTTTGAGACAATCTCACTCTGTTGCCAGGCACCAGGCTGGAGTACGGTAGTGCAATCTCGGCTCACTGCAATCTCCGCCTCCTGGGTTCAAGCAATTGTCCTGCCTCAGCCTTCCTGAGTAGCTGGGACTACAGGTGCGTGCTACCACACCCAGCTAATTTTTGTATTTTTTAGTAGAGACAGGGTTTCACCATGTTGGCCAGGATGGTCTCGATCTCTTGACCTCGTGATCCGCCCACCTCAGCCTCCCAAAGTGCTGGGATTACAGGCATGAGCCACCGCTCCCAGCCATTTTTTTTTTTAATTATTAGTTAGCAGGGCATGGTGATGCATGGCTGTGGTCCCAGTTACTCAGGAAGCTGAGGTGGGAGGATTATTTGAGTCCAGGAAGTCAAGGATGCAAGGAGTCCTGATCAGGCCACTGTACTTTGGCCTAGGTGACAGGGTAAGATCCTGTTTGAAAAAAAAAGGCCTGGTGGCTCACATCTGTAATACCAGCAATTTGGGAGGCTGGGGCAGGCAGATCACTTGAAGTCAGCAGCTGGAAACCAGCCTGGCCAACATGGTGAAACCCCGTTTCTACTAAAAATATAAAAATTACCTGGGCATGGTGGTGCACAAGGGTAATCCCAGCTACTTGGGAGGCTGAGGCAGGAGAATCACTTGAACCTGGAGGTGAAGTTTGCAGTGAGCTGATATCACGCCACTGCACTCCAGCCTGGGCGACAGATCAAGACTCTGTCTCAAAGAAAAAAAGAAAAAATAAATAAATTGTTTAAGAAATCAACCTGGCCGGGTGTGGTGGCTCAAGCCTGTAATCCTAGCGCTTTGGGAGGCCGAGGTAGGTGGATTGCCTGAGGTCAGGTGTTCAAAACAAGCCTGGCCATCATGTCGAAACCCCATCTTAAAAAAAAGAAATAAGGCCAGGTGCGGTAGCTCATGCCTATAATCCCAGCACTTTGGGAGGCCAAGAAGGGTGGATCACAAGGTCAAGAGATCGAGACCATCCTGGTCAACATGGTGAAACCCCGTCTCTACTAAAAATACAAAAAAAAAATTGGCTGGGCATGGTGACACATGCCTGTAATCCCAGCTACTCCGGAGGCTGAGGCAGGAGAATTGCCTGAAGCCAGGAGGCGGAGGTTGCAGTGAGCCCAGATCGAGCCATTGCACTCCAGCCTGGGTAACAAGAGCGAAACTCTGGCTCAAACAAAACAAAACAAAACAAAAAGACTATTTTAAAAATCCTGCTAAATTTTATAATGGATTTGTGAATAAAAAATACCCAGGATTGTTAGAATGGAATAAATATCCTTTTAATAGTTATATACAAATATACAACTGTTAGCTTTAATTGGCAGCTCTCTTCTTTTTTCTTCTTTTCACTGGCTTTTTATTTGATGCTTTCTCCTGTTTTACACTGGTGGTCTGTGTTCTGTGAATATAAAGTAAGAATTTACTAAGAGTATGCTTGTTAAGTTTTGGATTATTGAAATAAGAGGCATTTCTTATTTTTCCAATAGGATATAAACTGTGTCAGCTAGGAGTAAAACTGGTATCCAAAGAGTTTTTCAGAATTAGATCCTAATTTTTATAAGTCACAAGGTAAATCACAGAACAAATGGATATCTAATGAAAAAGGGAAGTCTTTTTGTTTATAGTCATGTGGCAAGATGAGAGTAAAACCAGAGAGCAAACCTCTAGAAGTGTTCAGTATATGTATACATTTGAAATAAACCAGAAATCTGTTACCTTAAAAAAAAATTTTAAAAAGAGCCGGGCACGGTGGCTCATGCCTGTAATCCCAGCATTTTGGGAGGCCGAGAAGGGTGGATCACGAGGTCAAGAGATCAAGACCATCCTGGCCAACATGGTGAAACCCTGTCTCTACTAAAAAATAAAAAATTAGCTGGGTATGGTGGCATGTGCCTGTAATCCCAGCTACTCAGGAGGCTGAGGCAGGAGAATTCTTGAACCCAGGAGGCAGAGGTTGCGGTGAGCCAAGATCTCGCCACTGCACTCCAGCCTGGCACCTGATGACAGAACGAGACTCTGTCTCAAATATATATATATATATATATTAGGCCTGGCGTAGAGACTCACGTCTGTAATCCAAGCACTTTGGAGGCCAAAACGGGCAAATCACTTGAGGTCGGGAGTTCAAGACCAGCCTGACCAACATGGTGAAACCCGGTCTTTAAAAAAAAAAAAAGCCGGGTGCAGTGGTGAGTTCCTGTAGTCCCAGCTACGCGGGAGGCTAAGGTGAGAGGATCGCTTGAGCCCAGGAGTTCTGGGCTGTAGTGCTCTATGCCGATCGGGTGTCTGCACTAAGTTCGGCATCAATGTGGTGACCTCCCAGGAGCGGGGGATCACTAGGTTGCCTAAGGAGGAGTGAACTGGCCCAGGTCGGAAATGGACCAAGTCAAAACTCCCGTGCTGATCAGTAGTGGGATCGTGCCTGTGAATAGCCACTGCACTCCAGCCTGGGCAACATGGCGAGACCCCGTCTCTAAAAAGAAAAAAAAGCTTTTTGTCGGGGGCGGCGAGCGCAGAGAGAACGCCATGAAGGCCTCGGGCACACTACGAGAGTACAAGGTGGTGGGTCGCTGCCTGCCCACCCCCAAATGCCACATACCGCCCTTCTACCGCAAGCGAATCTTTGCGCCTAATCACGTCGTCGCCAAGTCCCGCTTCTGGTACTTCGTGTCTCAGTTAAAGAAGATGAAGAAGTCTTCAGGGGAGTCTACTGTGGGCAGGTGTTCCAGAAGTCCCCCCTGCGGGTGAAGAACTTTGGTATCTGGCTGCGCTATGACTCCCGGAGCGGCACCCACAACCTGTACCGGGAATACCAGGACCTGAACACCACGGGCGCTGTCACCCAGTGCTACCGAGACATGGGCACCCGGCACTGCGCCCAGGCCCACTCCGTCCAGATCATGAAAGTGGAGGAGATCGCAGCCAGCAAGTGCCGCCGGCCAGCGAAGCATTTCCACGACTCCAAGATCAAGCTCCCGCTGCCTCACCGCGTCCTGCGCCGTCAGCACAAGCCACGCTTCACCACCAAGAGGCCCAACACCTTCTTCTATGTGTGGGGCCCTCGCCCGGGTGTGCCCCAAATAAACACAGGGATGCCCCCCACAAAAAAAAAAAAAGAAAGAAAGAAAGAAATACAAAAATTAGCTAAGATCACCTCACTGCACTCCAGCCTGGGCAACAAGAGCAAAAACTTCGTCTCAAAAAAAAAAAAAATTAGGCTGGGTGTGGTGGCTCACGCCTGTAATCCCAGCACTTTGGAGGCCAAGGCAGGCAGATCACCTGAGGTCGGTAGTTCAAGACCAGCCTGACCAACATGGTGAAACCCCGTTTTTAAAAAAGAAAAAAAAAAAAAATTATCAACCGGGTACAGTGGTTCATTCCTGTAATCCCAACACTTTTGGAGGCTAAGGTGGGAGGATCGAGGCCAGGCACGGTGGCTCACGCCTATAATCCCAGAACTTTGGGAGGCTGAGGCAGGTGGATCATGAGGTCAAGAAATCGAGACCATCCTGGTCAATATGGTGAAACGCGTCTCTACTAAAAAATACAAAAATTCGCTGAGCATGGTGGCGCATGATTATAGTCCCAGCTACTCGGGAAGCTGAGGCAGGAGAATTGCTTGAACCCAGGAGGTGGAGGTTGGCGTGAACTGAGATGGTGCCATTGCACTCCAGCCTGGGTAACAAGAGCGAAACTCCATCTAAAAAAATAAAAAAGGTAGAAGGATCGATTGAACCCAGGCGTTTGAGACCAGCCTGGGCAACATAGCAAGATCCCATCTTTACAAAATATTAAAAAAATATCCAGGGCACGCGCCTGTGGTCCCAGCTACTTAGGAGGCTAAAGTGGGAGGATCACTTGAGCCCAGGAGGTGGCAGCTGCAGTGAGCCACAATCATGGATCATGCATACCACTGCACTCCAGCCTGGGTGGCACAGGGAGACCCTGTCTCCAAAAAGAAAAAGGAAAACAGTGTTAAACTAAATAAAAAGAAGAATCTTGTTAAGAATGAATGCCAATTCAACAAACCACAGCTCATAGCAGTGAGCTATGATAGCACCATTGCACTCCAGACTGGACAATAGAGCAAGATGTTGATTTTTTTTTTTTTTTTTTGAGACAGAGTCTTGCTCCATCGCCAGTCGCCAAGTGCCAGGCTGGAGTACAGTGGCACGATCTCGGCTCACTGTAACCTCCACCACCCAGGTTCAAACAGTTCTCTTGCCTCAGCCTCCCGAGTAGCTGGGACTGCAGGCACGCGCCACCATGCCCAGCTAATTTTTGTATTTTTAGTAGAGACGGGGTTTCACCATGTTGACCAGGATGGTTTCGATCCCTTGACCTCGTGATCCACCCGCCTCGGCCTCCCAAGGTGATGGGATTACAGGCTTGAGCCACTGCAGACAGCGATGTTGACTCTTTAAACAGAATAGAAGAGCCAGGGGGTCCAAAGTGGCTCCCGCCGGAGGTCATGGTGCTCGCGAAGGCGAGGTCATCAGTTCAAGGCTAACCTGAGCAACCTCATAAAGCTCAAACTGATTAGCAAAAAAAAAAAAAAAAAAAAAGAAGAGCCAGGTGTGGTGGCTCATGCCTGTAGTCCCAACACTTTGGGAGGCTGAGACAGGTGCATAATCTGAGGTTCGGGGTTCAAGACTAGCCTGACCAACACAGAAAAAAAGAGAAACCCTGTCTCTACTAAAAATACAAAAAACTATCCAGGTGTGGTGGGGCGCACCTGTAGTCCCAGCTACTCGGGAGGCTGAGGCAGGGGAATCACTTGAACCCGGGAGGTGGAGGTTGTGGTGAGCGGAGATCGCCCCATTGCACGCACACACACACACACAAAAAACAAGAATAGAAGATGCAAAGTCCTTGGGTCATGTTCACTCTTCTCCCTGTTATACTGTGACTTAAATACTGTAATGTAAAGCTAATCATCATTAATACATCTTATGTTAGATGATAAGGAGATAAAAGGAGAAAGGAAAAAACATACACATTCATAAAAAAATAAAAGAAATACTTGCTGGGTACAGCGGCTCAGGCCTATGATCCCAGCCCTTTGGGAAGACAAATTGGGTGGATCACAAGGTCAGGAGTTCAAGACCAGCATGACCAACATGGTGAAGCCTCACCTCTGCTGAAAATACAAAAAATTAGCCAGGCATGGTAGTGGGCACCTGTAACCCCAGCTGCTTGGGAGGCTGAGGCAGGAGAATCACTTGAATCCGGGAGGCAGATGTTGCAGTGAACCGAGATCGAGCCACTGCACTCTAGCCTGGGCAACAGAGTGAGACTTTTTTTCCAAAAAACCAAATAAATAAATACTCATAACTATTAGAGCCCCTGTTTCTGCAACTGATCACGTGGTTATTTCTCCCACTACCACTAATTCCAATCACCCATTCCATATTCCCTTTGCCACCAGCAAGTCCCTTAGCTGATTGTGACGGTTTGCCTGGCGGGGTGACCCAGACCTTCATTCCTGAAGTGTCTGGGCCATTAGAAGTCCTGCTTGAAGTAGGCTTTTATAATTTTCCATTTACTTTAATCACAGGACATGGTAATACTAAGAGACACCCAAAGGGATCTCTTGTATTTTAGACATACTCTTCCTTACTCCAATGAGTAGCAGCAGCTCAATCTCCCCTTGGTAATCCAGGACAATCACCCCAGCTAGTAGAGTAACTCACTTCTTTACTTGTGATTCAGAGGTGGGAGGAGCCCAAAGTAGCCACACAGCAGTCTTAACCTACGTTCAATGGAATTACTGTTGCGTCTCCTGGTAGAAGCATTTCTCCCTTTGAGACTAAGCCTCTAGATGAGCACAGATTATATAAGATCCCTCAAACTGGAGGAAAAATTTTACTAATGGGGCTGGGTACAGTGGCTCATGCCTGTAATCCCAGCACTTTGGGAGGCCGAAGCGGGCAGATCACGAGGTCAGGAGATTGAGCCTATCCTGGCTAACACGATGAAACCCCATCTCTACTAAAAATACAAAAAAAAAAAATTGAGCCAGATGTGGTGGCATGTACCTGTAGTCCCAGATACTTGGGAGGCTGAGGCAGAAGAATTGCTTGAACCTGGGAGGTGGGGGTTGCAGAGAACTGAAATCCTGACACTGCACTCCAGCCTAAGCGACAGAGCGAGATTCTGTATCAAAATTATAATAACAAATAAAAAAAATTTTTTTTTTGAGACAGTTTTTCTTTTGTTACCCAGGCTGGAGTGCAATGGCGCGATCTCGGCTCACTGCAACCTCTGCCTCCTGGGTTCAGGCAATTCTCCTGCCTCAGCCTCCTGAGTAGCTGGGATTACAGGCACGCACCACCATGCCCAGCTAATTTTTTGTATTTTTAGTAGAGACGGGGTTTCACCATGTTGACCAGGATGGTCTCGATCTCTTGACCTCATGATCCACCAGCCTCAGCCTCCCAAAGTGCTGGGATTACAGGCTTGAGCCACTGCGCCCGGCCTAATAAATAAAAGTTTTACTAGTGAATCACTAGGATAATAGTAGGCAGTGCCAATTCCTTTTTTATTCACTTGATATTTGGACCCATGAATCCTGGCTATGAGAGAAACTGTACGGGATATTGAATGCTGACTTAGAGTATATACAGCTTCCTGGAGGATATTGCCCCAGCCCTGCAAGGTACTTAGCCAGTGCTGTTACTGAGTCTTCAAAAGGCTGCTCCACCTTTCTATTCAGCTACTTTATGATGATGAGGAGCATTGTGAGACCAGTGGATTTCATAAGCGTGGGTCTATTATTACTGCATTTCATTTGCGGTGAGTGAGCACCTCAATCAGAAACAATGCTGTATAGAATACCATGATGGCAAGTAAACATTGCTTGCAAGGAAGGCAAATCCATATCCAGAGTGTCTATTCCAATAACAACACTGCCCCTTCCATGGTAGAATGTCATTAACCTGCCACTAGGCAGCTGGCTGATTCATCCTCCCCAGAGAATGGGACCACATTGGGTAAGCACTGTAGGTCTTTGCTGCTGGCAGACTGGCCACTCAGCAGTGGCTATAGCCAGGTCAGCCCCGGTGAGTGGAAGTCCATGTTGCTTGAGTCCATGCATAACCCCCGTCCCTGCCACCATGGCCACTTTGCTCATGAGCCAATTAGTTAGGCAATGACAGAGGTGGGTAGAGGATGAGGCTGACTGGTATCTATAGAACAGGACATTCGATCACTTGATTATTGAAATCCTTTGCTGAGGTCATCTGTTGTGTGTATTCACGTATAATATAAGTATCTCTCTGTTTTTTTCAGCTGGGGGCAGTGGTTCACACCTGTAATCCCAGAACTTTGGGAGGATTAGGCAGGTGGATCATTCGAGGTCAGGAATTTGAGACCAGCCTGACCAACATCTCTACTAAAAATAGAAAAATTAGCTGGGCAAAGTGCAGGTGCCTGTAATCTCAGCTATTCAGGAGGCTAGGGCAGGAGAATCACTTGAACCCAGGAAGTGGCAGTAGCAATGAGCTGAGATTGAGCCATTGCACTCCAACCTGTACAACAAAGTGAGACTCTGTGTCTCACAAAAATTAAAAAAAAAAAAAAAAAAAATTTCTGCCGGGCACAGTGGCTCAAGCCTGTAATCCCAGCACTTTGGGGAGGCCGAGGCGGGTGGATCACGAGGTCAAGAGATCGAGACCATCCTGGTTAACATGGTGAAACCCCGTCTCTACTAAAAATACAAAAAAATTAGCTGGGCATGGTGGCGCGTGCCTGTAATCCCAGCTACTCAGGAGGTTGAGGCGGGAGAATTGCTTGAACCTAGGAGGCGGAGGTTGCGGTGAGCCGAGATCACGCCATTGCACTCCAGCCTGGGTAACAAGAGCAAAACTCCGTCTCAAAAAAAAAAAATTTCTGTTTTTTTGACCATTCAGAGAGGTCTATCCATGTATCTCTTTCTCAGACTTCCCTGTAATCAATTTCCCAATCACGTTCCTTTTAAGTTCCTGACCTTCCAGCCAGACCATTGGCTACATCCCTAATATATCCAGCAAAGTTACCTTCCCCAGATATCCGATGACACATAGGTTGAGGATTCTTAGTTCACTAGGATGACACTGAAAGAGTAGGAGGTACTCTTTTTTCCCTATTTCTACGTTCTAGATCATTAAATAATATGTATTCCCATGATTCCACCCTCTTGAACTTTAGAGATGGGGCAGGGGGGTCTCACTATAGAGCAAAGGCTGGCCTCAAACTCCTAGGCTCAAGTGGTCCCCCCGGCTTGGCCTCCTGAGCATCTGGGACTACAGGCATGTTCCAACACACTGGGTCCCAAATAGGCAGCCTACAAATTGAGCACAGATTAAGGGCTCGACGTGGAATGAGGACTGGTTTTGCCAATTTCTTGCTGCTTTAAGGTTGTGAATCACTGCCAGCCATGGTGGTTCACGCCTGTAAACCCAGCACTTTGGGAGGGTGAGGTGGGGGATCACCTGAGGTCAGGAGTTCAATACCAGCTTGACCAACATGGTGAAACCTCATCTCTACCAAAAAATACAAAAATTAGGCTAGGCACAGTGGCTCATGGCTGTAAGCCCAGCACTTTGGGAGGCTGAGGCGGGTACATCACCTGAAGTCAGGAGTTTGGGACCAGCCTTACCAAGGTGAAATCCTGTCTCTCCTAAAAACACAAAAATTAGCTGGGCGTGGTGGTGGGCACCTATAATCCCAGCTACTAGGGAGGCTGAGGCAAGAGAACTGCTTGAACCCAGGAGGCAGGTTTCAGTGAGCCAGAATCACACCATTGCACTTCACTCTGCTCAACTGAGCGAGACTCTGTCTCCAAAAAAAGGAAAGGATTGGTCACATAACCTAGTGGGTGGAAATGGGAGGAAGCAGAATCCAAATTCAAGGTGTCTGACTCCATGACTGAAACATGAGAGAATCTGAGACCAGGCAAGGTGGCACCTGTAAATACCAACATTTTGGGAGGTCAAGGCGGGCAGATCACCTGCGGTCAGGAGTTTGAGACCAGCCTGAACAACATGATTAAACCCTATCTCTACTAAAAATACCAAAAATTAGCCAGTCGTGGTGGCCTGCAATCCCATCTACTCAAGAGGCTGAGATAGGAGTACTGCTTGAATCTGGGAGGCAGAGGTTGCAGTGACCCGAGATCACACCATTGCACTCCAGCCTGGACAACAAGAGTGAAACTCCATCTCAAAACTAACTAAATAAATAAAATAATCTAAGAAACATTGAATTTTGAGATTCATGGGCCTTTAACATAAATGCAAGCTAACCTACTAGGTGCTAGAAATGCCTCTGTCTTGATCTGGGAGGTTGTACACAAGTTATGTACATAAGTAAATATTCATTAAGATATTTATATGCCAGGCACTGTGGCTTATGCCTGTAATCCCAGCACTCTGGGAGGTCAAGGCAGGAGGATCACAAGGTCAGAAGTTTGAGACCAGCCTGGGCAACATGGTGAAACCCCGTCTCTACTAAAAAAAAAAAAAAAAAAACACAAAAATTAGCCGGGCGTGGTGGTGTGTGCCTGTAATCTCAGCTACTCAGGAGGCTAAGGCAGGAGAATTGCTTGAACCCAGGAGACAGAGGTTGTAGTGAGCCGAGACCATGCCAGTATGCACCAGCCTGAGCGACAGGGCAAGACTCTGGTCTCAAAAAAAAAAAAAAAAAAAAAAAAAAAAAAAATTTATTTAGGATGGGTGTGGGGGTTCATGACTGTGATCCCAGCAGTTTGGGACGCCGAGGCGAGTGGATCACCTGAGGTCAGGAGTTCAAGACCAGGCTGGACAACATAGTGAAAACCCATCTCTACTAAACCTAGAAAAAATTAGCTGGGCATTTTGGCCAGCGCCTGTAATCCCACCTGCTGGGGAGGCTGAGGCAGGAGAATCACTTGAACCTGCAGGTGGAGGCTACAGTGAGCAGAGACCTGGCCACTGCATTCCAGCCAGGGTGATGAGTGAGGCTCTGTTTCTGATAAATGATATTTACTTGAGATTTGTTCACCACATGGAAGTTGTTTCTCAATTCAAATTTAAGAAAAAAAAATCTAGTGTAATTAGCAAATGCTTTCTTTTTTTTTTAAATTTTTTTTTTTTTTTTGAGAAGGAGTTTCGCTCTTGTTACCCAGGCTGGAGTGCAATGGCGCCATCTTGGCTCACCACAACCTCTGCCTCCTGGGTTCAGGCAATTCTCCCGCCTCGGCCTCCTGAGTAGCTGGGATTACAGGCACGCGCTACCATGCCCAGCTAATTTTTTGTATTTTTAGTAGAGACGGGGTTTCACCATGCTGACCAGGATGGTCTCGATCTCTTGACCTCGTGATCCACCCGCCTCCGCTTTCCAAAGTGCTGGGATTACAGGCGTGAGCCACCACGCCCGGCCCTAAATTTTTTTTATGGAGACAGGTTTTCACCATATTTGTCAGGCTGCTCTCGAACCCTTGACCTCATGATCCACCCATCTCAGCCTATCAAAGTGCTGGGATTACAGCCCTAAGCCATCAA